TGAATTATGTTTCTTTTCATGAGGTGAAAATGATCAAGGTTTGGGTTAATCTTGTCTCATTTGTCCTTTTTCTGGCCTCCACTCATTGGTTCTGACATTTTGGCCTGACTCTGGCTGGTCCCTTACGAAAACTAATTTTTTATGACATAATCAGGAAACTCCTTTGTCTATTCACAAAATTTCATCTTTCTTCGTTAGAGAAAATTTACATTAGCTGTTTCTCAGTGAAAATATGTATTCCCATCTCTAGCAACATATAAAGAGAATATTTATATAGGAAAGAAAATAGTCTTCCTAAGCATTCATATTAGAGAAGAGGAATCCATTCTAAAAGGATCCCAGAGGTAATGGAGAAGTTTGTGCTTTAAAGAGCATGTAAGCAATGTGGAAATAAACAAAAAAGAAAGAATTTAAATTGATAGTTCTCCACAGAGGATATACAAATAGCCAACAAACATACAAAGATTTTCAACATCTCTAATTATTCAGGAAATGCAAATAAAACCACAATGTGACACCATCTCACACCTATTAGGATGATCCACTATTAGAAAATAACAAACGCTGGCAAGGTTACAGAGAAATTAGAACTCTTGTGTTCTGTTGGTAACCATGTAAAATGGTGTAGTTTCTGTGGAAAACACTGCCAGTTTCTCAAAAAAAGTAAACACAGAATTACCATAGGATGCAGCACTCTACTGCTGGGTATAGACCCCAAAGAATTGAGAGTAGGAAGAAAAGATATTTGTACATCATGTTCAGAGAGACATATTCATGATACCCAAAAGTGGAAACAGCCCAAGTGTCCATTGATGGATTAGTGAATAAAGAGAATGTGGTGCATATTGATTCAATAGAATATTAATATGTCTTACAAATGAAGTAAATTATGATATATGCTATAACATGTAAAACCTTTCAGGGTATTATGCTAAGGGAAATGATTCAGTCATAAAAATGAGGAATGCAATATGGTCATGAGGAACCTAGTGTAGTCAAATTCATAGATACAGAAAGGAAAATGGTATTTTTTAAGGGCTGGAAATAAGAGGAAATGGAGAGTCATTGTTTAATGAGTGTAGAGTTTCAATTTTCTAAGATGAAAAGAGTTCAGGATATGAATGGTGGGATGGTTACACAGTAGTGTGAAATACTTAACATGACTGAATTATACAGTTAAAAATGAGTAAGTTGGTAACTTTTATGTTATATATATTTTATTGCAATTAAAAAACTATGTAAGGTGGAAGTTACCGAGATTTGCATGTTTTGCACTCCAGTTCACTATGATGATAGACCAATGAGGCAATAATCCAATTCAAGAGTGAAGGGTGGAAGTTTTTATGACAGGTTCTGGAAATCAAACATTTCAGAGATTTATCATGAGAGAAGTGGCTATGGTAGAAACTAAATTTCTGAAATCTTGAGTGGCTTATTTCAAGAATAAAGTTAATTTAGCACTTCTGCTGTATGTTCAGTATGGTGTCTCAGTATATTTACTCAGAAAGTCTATACCATATTACGATGTAGCTTTCTCATTATGATTGAAGCATTGGAAGAGTCTGTGAGAGGATAACATGGGATGTTTTAAGTGTCGTGCTTAGTGTGACATATGAGAGAGATCTTCAAAATGTTCATAGCTTGGAAAATTTGCACAGATTTGAAAGCTTAAAAAAACAAACTTGTGCTAACTTATTATAACATATCTGAAGGCACTAAGAAGGCTAACACATCATTTTTTTTAAAAAGTCCTTATCAAAGCAACATTAGTTTTGCTATATTTGAAGCAAAGAACAAACATCAAATTTGTGGTGGAGTTTGGATAGAACAATGACAAAATCATTGATGTTTTATGAAAAGACTATGAGGACAATGCCACAAAGATATCAGCAATTTACTAACGGATTCCTTGTTTTAGGAAGAAATGAGGTGATGGTGTTGTGCTGTGGTGGTTAAAGTCACTGCCTGTGATGTTGCATCCCATAAGAGTGATAGTTCTTATGTTCTAGCTGCTCCACTTCAGATCCAGTGCTCTGCTAATGTCCTGGGAAAAATAGCAGTAGATGACCCAGGTATTTGGGCTCCTGCCACCTGTGTGGGAGACCCAGATGAATCTCTTGGCTCCTGACTTCAACCTAGCTCAGCCCTGGCCAGAGCAGCTGTTTGAGGAGTAAACCAGCAGATGGAAGCTCTCTCCCTCCATCTCTGTCTCTCTCTCTCTGTTAATTTTGACCTTCAAATAAATAAATAAATCTTTTTTAAAAAGGAGAAATGAGAAGATGTTGAAGATGAAGCTGATAATAGCAGACAACTCACATCAGTTTGTGAGAAAAAAAAAAATAGCCCTACTTGAAGAGGACAAATAATTAACAACAGATACAAAGTCCATAGCATCAACATCTCAATTTGGTCCAGCTTACATGATTATGATTAAAAAATTAAAGTGGAGCAAGTGTTTGGCTCAATGGATGCCAAAAACTGATCAGTTATAGCAAGGGAGAAGCTTCCAATGAAACTAAACAAATGATACCAAGGTCCTGAAGCATTTCTATGAAAAAATATAACAAGAGATGAAACAGACTTTGGCCAAGGCACAATACAAGGCACAGTTATGCCTGAATACAAGGCACAATCAAAACAATGGCTACTAAGAGAAGGAAGTGGTGCAGTCAAATCAAAGGCATACCAGTCAAAAGCAAAGGTCCTAGGAACAGTTTTTGTGGGATTTCAAGACATTTTGCTTATTGAACTTCTGAAGTGCCAAACAACAACATCTGCTTATGATGAATGTGCTTGGAGCAAGTCAGCCAAAGCTTTAGCATCAAAACCCCCAGGAAATCTTCACTAGAGAGTCCTTCTCCACCATGGCAATGCTCTCACTCACTCCTGTCTTTGAACAACAGTAGCCATTTTGTGTGAATTAATGGGAAATCATTAGACATCTAGCATACCGTCCCAATTTATCTCCTTCTGACTTCTTTTTATTTTCTAATCTTAAAAAATATGTAAAAGGTACCCAATTTTCTTCACATAGTAATGCAACAAATGAACAAAATCAAAAATCAAAACTGGGGGCTGGTATTGTGGCTTAGTGGGTAAAGCTGCTGCTTGAGAGCCAGCATCCCAAAAGGGGACTGGTTTGAGACTGGCTGCCCCACTTCTGATCCAGCTCTCTGCTAATGTGTCTGGGAAAGCAGCAGAAGATGACCCACATGCTTGAGCCCCTGTGCCCATGTGGGACATCTGGAAGAAGCCCCTGATTCCTGGCTTCATCCTGGCCCTAGCCCTGGCCTTTGTGGCCATTTAGGGAATGAACCAGTGGATAGATCTCTCTCTCTCTCTCTCTCTCTTCCTCTCTCTCTCTGTCTCTTCCTTTCTCTGTGTAACTCTGACTTTCAAATAAATAAATCTTTTTTTAAAAAGCCAAAACTGCACTGAAATTATTAAATTCACAGGACTCTCAGTTCCTTAGGGATGGACTAGATGTCTGTTTTCATGGCTTACAAAAATGTCTTGAACTTGATGGAGCTGAGTTTGAGAATTAAAGTTTGCATTTTAAAAAGTTCTACCTTTTGGCCGGTGCCACTGCTCAATAGGCTAATCCTCCGCCTGTGGCGCCAGCACACCGGGTTCTAGTCCCGGTCGGGGCGCCGGATCCTGTCCCGGTTGCCCCTCTTCCAGGCCAGCTCTCTGCTGTGGCCCAGGAGGGCAGTGGAGGATGGCCCAAGTGCTTGGGTCCTGCACCCGCATGGGAGACCAGGAGAAGCACCTGGTTCCTGGCTTCAGATTGGTGCGGTGCGCCGGCTGCAGCGCGCCAGCCACAGTGGCCATTGGGGGGTGAACCAATGGAAAAGGAAGACCTTTCTCTCTCTCTCTCTCTCTCTCTTTTACTGTCCACTCTGCCTGTCAAAAAATTTTTTCCTACTTTTTAATTCCATTTACTCTGACTCTTTTGAAGTTACTTTGTACATTTGTTTGTTCTGTTTCATTGGCTAGAACCTACAAACATAGTGGCAATTTAACTCTAGGTTAAGCAAGAAGTGTAATCATTTCAGATTTCTAGGAAGAGGAAGATGAGATGGAAGCTGGTAGCTATATAACATTGTTTCTCCCTCACAATAGATGGATCTAACCTTGAGCAACACATATAAAAACAAATCAATAGTGAAGCTATCATTATCATTCCATTTATAGCATTCTAGAAAATTAATTTCAATATACATTTATCTACATAATTCTTCTCAAAATGACTTGAGAGGGCTTCCAATGAGACAAGAGTAGATTAATGCAAAATAAATAATAGAAGAGATGCAAAAAGGTTAGTTTTGAGCTATCTGGACTTCGTGATGAAAAAATCACTGCTGTTATTTTTTAAGTAAAGTAGAATAGGTCAGCTGTAGTGCTTTTCTTGCACTGATTTTGCTAATGTTATGTTTTATATCTTGGGTATTAAGCAATATGCTGGATAGTTTTAGACTAGCAATTGTTTAAGAAATGACTAAGTTTTAGACTTTTCAATAAGAACATATAATATTAAATTGGCTGGTAAAGGCATGTCTACAGGGAACTAATATAATAGTCTTTTCACGTAGCTTTTCTGGGTATTTGACTTGATTCCAGCACATAGCTTAGAGGATTGAGGGAAATGAATATTTAGCAATTCTCTTAGCCTGTCTTTCTGTATATCAGTAGTCTCGGTGAGAACTTGGACATTAAATGGATAGAATATAATATGAAATGAAGAGCAGTGTTTCCTTTCTGAAGTACAGCTTCTCTGTGTTATTGATAGAAGGAAATCTATATAATTTTGATGCAGACATTTAAGTGGAAGAGTTAACATTCTGATAGGAAAATTAAGGAGACTGACTTGCATTTTTACCCTGAGTATAAATTTTAAAGTAGAGGGTTTAGAACCTAGTATTTTAAATTTTAAAAAATACTGGTTGGGTTCTAAATTGACTGTTCTTAGAGCCTGTTACTTTGTGATTTATTTTTTACAGAGGTGATTTGACAAAGGCTTGGAAGAATCATTTGGAATCCATGAACTACTTGAGATGATTGACCCATATATTGTTTCTATCCATGTGACCAAAGGTTTCTACATCTTACCTCTGATGATTTAAGACAGCTGATTATATCCTTCCTAATTATCCAAGAGTAAAAACACAGTGGACTCTTGTATGCTCTTTTCAGTTAACACTTTGGATCTTACATGCTTCTTTGTGACATAATCTAACCTCCAACTAAATTCAAACTTTGGACCTCCCTCCTCCCCCCAGATCGCCTCCAATATACTTACTTATTTATTTACCTATTTATTTTTGAGATTCATTTTAATTATTTGAAAGGCAGAGTAATGGGGGTGAGGGGACAGACAGAGAGAGGAGATTTTCCATCAGCTTGTGCAGTCTCCTAAGTGGCTGCAACAGTAGCCTGGAACTCCATCCCGATTTTCCACGTCACTCTCAGAGATACAACCACTTAGGCCATCTTCCTCTGCTTTCCAAGGTGCATTAGCAGGGACCTGGATTAGAATCAGAATAGTTGAGACTCAAACCAACTTCCTGATATGAGATGCTGCCATTGCAAATGGTGGTTTAACCCTCTGTGCCACAATGCCAGCCCCTCTCCTCCCATTTCTGACATTTTGGATTTTCCATTTAGAAAATTGCTTCTTTGACACCTTACTTGAACTATATTTGATGGATATTGGCGTGGTATGCATGCCTCTGCTTCTTTTTATACAACCTTTTGATAAGCTATCATCCTCTAGTTTAAGGTTTTAGGCATCCGTTAGCACCGAACATTTACTTATCAGATGGACTAGACCTAATTCCCAAAGTGAGTGTTTGAACAAAGCTGAAGATAGATCAATTCTTATCTCTAAAAAGTCTTTCATTTTTGTTAATATTTTCTATCAGGTAATTTGAGGATATCAATGCTCAAGGATATATTATTGACTATAACCTGTATATTTTTCATGAAAATGCTAAGTAGATGGCTGCTTTTATAAAAGCACAGGTTATTTTACTTTGAACTCAATCTCAAGAGCCATAAAGGTGAGTCATTTAATTAGATTAAATGGTTTCACAAGAATTTCCAAATACTTTCAAGAATATTCTTCACTTTAAGATGGTTAATCAGATACTCAGTAATGGGTGCATCTAACATTTCACAAGTAGAGGTTGAATTCTATATGCACGGAGTAAAGGTCAATGGATTACCAAGTTAACCCTTTGGAGTTCAAAATATTTAGAACTCTATGCAGCTAGAAACTCACCAGGAGTTTCACACATTCATGTTTATAAGCAGTTTCTACAGTATCTAGTATTTTCATCATATATAAAAGCCCATATTAAAATGCTCCCTAAATTGTCAAATTGATACTGACCAGATAAGTTCCAGGCATGTATATTGCTTTGAGGTCTGTTTGAGTAGGGTTCACTATCTGAGACAGGCTAAAATGGCACTGGATGCCTGGAAGAAAGAAACCGTTCTATCCACTGACTTGAACCTTGTGGTTTTAATAGCCAGACGTTCTCCTTTTCCATTGGATGTTATGGGCAAAGCTCTGGAGTTAATACTTACCTAGTGGGGAAAGCGGTTGGGGAGAAATGCAGAATCTGATCCTTGTTGTTCAGAACAGGGTCATACTTCCACGGAAGGCTCCTGTGTGGTCAGTTCCAAATGCTTCACATGATTTATGTGCCAGTTTCACTTCCACACTTGAACTTTTCAGAGCCTGTATTGCTGTAGTTCTTTACTTGAGGTGAGAAACGTGAACTGAATTCTCTTTGATCCTTGAGAACTTAAGTAAAGCTGACATTAACTCAGTCCCAAAAAGTTCACAAAGATTGATGTGCTGCTGAATTATTTAAAAAGATCGACAATTCTTTGTTTTATCCATAGGCATTGCTTGGCTATTTAGCTAACTTTGTGCAGTTGTGATGAGAAGAGATTTTATATTATCTCTAAAATAATCAGATTGTCCCTCTTATTTGAAAACCAGCTTGGAGGCTAGATCAAAATATGTTCTCTGTGGGACCAGAATCAACCTAAAATATATTTCCACTCCTTTATGCTGATATGTCTCTTTAATAATCTCTCCAAATAAATTTGTTTGAACTACACTTACTACTTGTCAATGACATTAGTTTTCTGGAAGGGAAAGTAGGAGTGAAAAGGAGAATGAAAAATATTCAGAAATCCTTAGGACAAACAACCTGCATGACTTGATTGGATTTAAAGTCCCACTGCTGGGTTTTCTTGGCTGACCTTATTTGCATTGTTCCTATCCTGGGTTAAGTTACAGTCAAACTGTATTATTTCCGCCTCTGAAATGAATGCTAATGGAAATCTGGGATTCTCTGATGCAAATTCAGCTGTGTGTGCCCAGCTTCTCAGAGGTAAACTGTAGGTCTCTCTGATTTACTATTCCCATGTCCAAGTCACAATGCTCTCCTTCCTCATGGCCATGAGTCGGTGTAAATTTTGAAACCTTGGTGGGAAAGAAAATCAATATGCTTTCCTTCTGGGGATAATTTAGGTTAGGCTTTACTACTAGACTAAAAAAGGATAGCTGTAAAAAATGGGTGAGTGGATGTTTACTTGGCAAAGATGAAGGCTTGAGAATCCTGAAGAGAGAGGCTGGGAGGAGTCTTCAGTGAGTCTGCAGCTGTGTTGAGCTTTGGCTTTGACATATGCTGCTATTCCTAAGCTGCAAGGCCTATTGGGAGCAGAGTTGCATTGACTCGGAAGGTACTATCCACCTGGTGTTGTGATGTAGAGGGTTAAACTGCTGACTTGGATGCTGGCATCCCATGTGGGAGACTCAGACTGAGTACCCAGCTCTTGGCCTTAGTCTGGCTCAGCCCCAGATATTGCAGACATTTAGGAAGTGAACCAGTAGATGGAAGATCTCTGTCTCTATCTGTTTCAGTATTTCTGTTTTTCCAACAAATAACATAAATAAATATAGATTAACAGGACATTGTGAGAATAATACAAAGAGGCTCAATGTACCCTTCACCCATTTTCCCTCAATGATAACATCTTATGTAATTATAGGACAATAGAAAAGCCAGGAAATTGACTGTGGTAACACCTGTGGAGCTTATTTAGCATTTACTGATTTACATGCATACATTTCTGTGTGTATGTTTCTTTCACATATTCGTGGATTTTGTCACCATCACGGCAATCAATATGCAAAATTGCTACTGTTCCAGTTTATAGTCACATCTGTCACCACCCCTGCCTCTGGTTCCCTGCTCTCATCTCTAACCCTTAGAAAATACTAATCTGTTTTCCACTTCTATAATTTTTTCATTCTGAGAATGTTATATTAATGGAATTATATAATACGTGATCTTTTCAAATTGACCTTTTTTTCCACTCATTATAGTGCCCTTGGGAGTCATCCAAGTTGTCTTGTAATCGATAATCAGGAAATTTCGACCTGTAATGTGGGGGATTTGAAATCTGCCTTCTCAACCCACAGATCCTTTAGTAGTATGAAATAAGATTATCTATATTAAAGCATTACTTAAACTGTCAAGGATTATTTGAATGGAAGGATGTTTTTTAATAATAATGTGTCCTTATAAAGGAATAAATAACTACTTGTATATTCCAAAGCCTCAGGTTTACAACATGAAGGGGCAATTTGGTATAAAAAAGTGGGTAATCAAATCCTGTCTATTAAAAACTGTCATTTTGATAATTTATCTAACTTTGGTCACGCTTGGTTTTAATTTTAATCTAAAAATATTTTATACCTATTTTGAGGGGTGTTGTGGCAACAGCAGATGACACAAACATTGAGAATACCCTATACTATAATATGTAATATGGAGATAATGTGAATAATAGAGATTTCAGTCCAAATGGACTATGCAGACTGTGGGCCATAATAGATGTTTAACAGTGGTAGTTCTCATTGTTACAGCTGCTACTTTTTAAAAAGGACTTGTGGGTTGTTTCCTTTTGAAAATACAGTGGTTACTCGGCTCTTTCAGGTTCAATACCACACTTGAAGATGTAATTTCTTGCCATGTGTATTTTTTTTTTTTTTGACAGGCAGAGTGGACAGTGAGAGAGAGAGACAGAGAGAAAGGTCTTCCTTTTGCCATTGGTTCACCCTCCAATGGCCGCTGCGGGCTGGCGCGCTGTGGCCGGCGCACCGTGCTGATCCGATGGCAGGAGCCAGGTGTTTATCCTGGTCTCCCATGGGGTGCAGGGCCCAAGCACTTGGGCCATCCTCCACTGCACTCCCAGGCCATAGCAGAGAGCTGGCCTGGAAGGGGGGCAACCGGGACAGGATCCGGCGCCCCGACCGGGACTAGAACCCGGTGTCCTGGCGCTGCAAGGCGGAGGATCAGCCTAGTGAGCTGTGGCGCCGGCGACTTCCTAAGATCTTATTAGCAAGGAATAACAGGGGAAATGGGTTTACAAAATCAGTCTTCTGAAGATTAAGATTTTAGTATTTAATGTAAAACTTAAAAAAAGTGGCAGGTGTGTGTTGTTGTAGGTTAAGCCTGAGATGCTGGCATCCTATATGGGCATGGTTTTGAGTCCTGGCTGCTCCACTTCTGATCCAGATCCCTGCTGATGTGCCTGGGATGGCAGTGGAAGATGGCCCAAGTGTATGGGCCCCTGTTCACATGTGGATGAAGCCCCTGGATCCTGGTTTTGGCCTGGGCCAGTCCTAGCTGTTCAGGCCATTTGAAGAGTTAACCAGTGGATGGAAGATCTCTCACTCTCTCTGTAACTCTGCTTTTCAAATAAATAAATAAATTCTTAAAAAAAAAAAAAACTACAAAAAGTTAAATTCCTAAGAAGCAAAATTTAAAAAGTGACTCTTAATGAACTTAACTTAGACTCAATGTAGTTTTTTCAGTGATTAAAAATGCACAAAAAAGATTTGAATTTAAAAGTACTCTATTCTTTAGAAAATCAGACATTGCTGTTATATATATAACAATTTTAATTGTACTAGAATGTTTAGATGTCTCACTCCTCATGTAATTTTTGTTGGCAAATGAAAGTCTAAAATAGTTGTTTAAAGAAACACAGTTGAAATCTGATTTATCCTGCTCACCTAAATATGAGAAAGATGTTTGATTCTGCCTTTGAGATGTTCCCATGATTTGGCGACTGTTGTGCTAAATCTTAGTTCTCTGAGCCAAAGTGATGAGTTATTCCTTTGGAAGTTCCATATGGAATTATAATAAAAGAGGTAGTTCCAGTAAAGAGTACTCCTGTTGAAGTGGGACTGATGACGCAAGTAGGATCAAGTGTATAGAAGGAAAAGGCCAACAAAGAACAGAATTTGAGAGAAAATGATAACGTTTCATTGCAACTTGTTAAGTGCTTACTTTGTGCTAGGCATTCTTCATAATTGTTAATCGATAAACTTCTGTTAAAGTCCAGACAGCAAATATGTCAGGTTGTGTGGGCTATCTAGTCTGTTGTGATTATCACACAAAAACAGTCAAGTCATAGAAATCATGTAAATGAACCTGGGTTCAAATAATAGGCAGCTGGCTGGATTCAGTTGAAGACTATACCTTAAGAATCCCTATTTTAGGGATACAGAGGTGATTAAAACAGACTTGATTCTTACATGGAGCTTCCATTCCAGGGGTAGTGAAGCAAACCAGAGAGAGGAAGGAAAGGAGAAAGGAGGAAGGAAGAACAAAAAAGAAAGAAAGAAAATAGGACATAAGTTTTCTGCAGGGAATTGAAACAGATTGTTATGAAGGATGATTGCTTTGACGTGATTCAGAAAGTAGCATTTAGGTTGAGATCTCAATGACAGGAAAGCATCCGTTTGGTGCTGATCTAGGGGAAGAATGTTCTGCTAATGAAGATTTTCCAAGTTGAGATGACCTTGATATATTCCAGGAAAAAAATATGTGTGTGTGTGTGTGTGTGTGTGTATAGTGCTACATTGGAGAGAGAGAGAAAGAGAATTATTTCTTATACAAACTGTTCCAAAGAATCTATATGCAGTGTGATTTTCAGCTTGAACTTTTTAAAACAGTGCATAACTAGAAACATTTCCAGTGCCTACATGGGAAGGGATTTATCCAGTAACATAGAACTGATACTTATGAAGCCATCTGTAAATATTTGTGGAACCAAGCGACCTAAATTTCTAGCAAAAAGTAAATGACTGATTTGATTATATCAATTTGATGCCCTTCTCTAGAGGTATTAAATCTATCCTATTAGTTTGGAATGTTTTTATTTGTAATAGCAGAAATTTTGTTTATAATTATGTTTTCTTTTTTTTAAAATTTTATTTAAGGTTTATAAATTTCATCTATTTTATATATACAGATTTAGTAACAAAGTGATATTCCCACCCTACACTCCCTCCCACCCACGCTTTTTTTAAAAAAAGATTTATTTATTGGCTGGCGCCATGGCTCACTTGACTAATCTTCCGCCTGCGGTGCCGGCACCCCGTGTTCTAGTCCCTGTTGGGGTGCTGGGTTCTGTCCCGATTGCTCCTCTTCCAGTCCAGCTCTCTGCCGTGGCCCAGGAAGGCAGTGGAGGATGGCCCAAGTGCTTGAGCCCTGCACCCACATGGGAGACCAGGAGGAAGCACCTGGCTCCTGGCTTTGGATCAGCACAGTGCCAGTCGTAGCAGCCATTTAGGGGGTGAACCAAAGGAAGGAAGACCTTTCTCTCTCTGTCTCTCTCTCACTGACTAACTCTGCCTGTCAAAAAAAAAAAAAAAAGGATTTATTTATTTATTTGAAAGTTGGAGTTACACAGAGAGAGAAGGAGAGGCAGAGAGAGAGGTCTTCCATTCACTGGTTCACTCCCTAGATGGCCGCAACGGCCAGAGCTGTACTGATCTGAAGCAGGAGCCATGAACTTCCTCCGGGTGTCCCATTGGGTATAGGTACTCAAGGACTTGGGCCATCTTCTGCTGCTTTCCCAGGCCATAGCAGAGAGCTGGATTGGAAGTGGAGCAGCTGGGTCTCTAACCAGCACCCACATGGGATGCTGGTACTTCAGGCCAGTGAGTTAACCCGCTGCACCACAGTGCAGGCCCCCCACCCACACTTTTAACCTTCTTCCTCCCTCTCCTATTCCCACTCCTAAGTTTTACAAAATCTATTCTCAGTTTTCCTTATACCCATAAGGTTAACACTACATTAAGTAAAAGTTCAACAACACTGTTCCTCAACAGTAAAGACAATGGCTGTAAACAACCATCAAATCCTAAAATTTCCATTTCACTCCTATCCACTACATTTTTGTAGGGTAACTACAAGTTACCCCACGTCAGGGAAAACATATCATATCTCTGTTTTGGGGACTGGCTTATTTCACTAAGTATAAAGATTTCCATTTTGTTGCAAAAGACAGGATTTCACATTTTTTTTTTTACTGCTGAGTAGTACTCCATAGTGTATTTATACCTTAATTTCTTTATCCAGTCATCAGCTGTTGGACATCTGGGTTGATTCCATATCTTAGCTATTGTGAATTGAGCTGATATAAATATGGGGTATAGATAACTCTTTCATGTGTTGATTTCTTTTCATTTGGGTAAATTCCCAGGAGTAGGATTGCTGAATATGAATATGGTTGGTTTATCTTTAGATTTCTAAGGTGTCTCCATATTGTCTTCCACAGTGGCTGCACCAGTTTATATTCCCACTGAGAGAGGATTAAGGTATCTTCTCCCCCACATCCTCAACAACATTCATTGTTTAATAACAGACCCTTTGCAATGGATTCTATAAACTTGAACTTATTTTTCTCATATAACAAGAAGTCCAGAGTTGGGGGCCACATGAATTGTTTCAAGGGCTTAATGATTTTCTGGCTTGATGGTGCTGAAGTTCTTAGTCCTCTCTTTAGCACATGCAGATGACCTCAAAAGTCATTTTCTTTTTTTTTTTTTTTTTACAGGCAGAGTGGACAGTGAGAGAGAGAGACAGAGAGAAAGGTCTTCCTTTGCTGTTGGTTCACCCTCCAATGGCCACCGCTCCGGTGCAGCATACCGTGCCAATCCGAAGGCAGGAGCCAGGTGCTTATCCTGGTCTCCCATGGGGTGCAGGGCCCAAGTACCTGGGCCATCCTCCACTGCACTCCCGGGCCACAGCAGAGAGCTGGCCTGGAAGAGGGGCAACCGGGACAGAATCCGGCGTCCCGACCGGGACTAGAACCCGGTGTGCCGGCGCTGCTCGGTGGAGGATTAGCCTATTGAGCTGCGGGGCTGGCCCAAAAGTAATTTTCTAAGCACAACTGAATTCAGGGCAGAAAGAAGGGAGAGAAAGGTAGGATCAGCAGGATCCATTGCCATATGGTGGATTTCCCTTAGGTTTTATCACCAGAACATCATCACATGATCCCATCCATGCTTCAAGGAAGGCTGGGAAAGTAGATTTGTCATGATTGCTTTAGATCAGTTATAATTTATTAGTAGGCTGGGCACATTTCCACCCTCAAATAAAATTGAGTTTCAGCTGGTGAAATGAAAGGGAATAGAAATTAGGTAGGCCAGTATGAAGATCATGTGCTGTTATGAAAATGATAATTATAGAGGAAATGAGAAGAGTGAAGAATTGTATTCATATTACAATAACCTATATTTATATAAATTACAAACCATTTCAGCAGTGCTTAAAAATATACATTTATCTATGTGATTTCTCATAAAAACTCTTTCAGGTAGAAAATATTTTTTCTTCTCTTTTTGTAAGAGAACAAACTAAGATAGAGAGAGTAGGTAATTTGGCCAAAAGCACACAGCTAATAAATACTCAAGTAACTATTCAAATTGAGTTCTCTGATTCTGAATTCTGACTTCTATTTATTTGTGTCCAGAATGACTTTTTATGTAATAATATACATAGAGTAATAGAAAAGGATATAAAATGGAAATAGCCTACTTTTGATTAGTTTATAAGTGGTGGTATATGTGATTTTAAAAAATAAACTACAAATATTTAATCCTACAAAAATTGAATCACATGAATATTTAAAGAGGGTGCTTAAATGCTTAATTTGCCTTCTTTTTCACTAGTCCTGCATTTCTTCAGTCACCTCGCTTGCTATTTTGATTTTTGTCCCTGTGATTCTTTCTTTTTTGTCAGGCAGATAGCTACTCCAGATTACAAATATTAAGTATACAGCCAATGAATTTTTCCATGTATGTGAACCCATGTAAATATCTCCCAGATCAAAATTTAGAATATGCCAAAGGCCCCCGAATAACCTGTTTTCCTTCTCCTGGTTTTTTTTTCTTCTCATTAAAGCTAACCAATATTTTCACTTCCATTATTATAGATACATTTTTGTCTTTTTTTGAACATTAAATAAATTCAATGGTGACATATAACATATAAGGACTGATTTCTTTCATTAACATGTGAGGTTTATCCATATCATTATGTATATCAGTACAGTTTTTTTTTAAATAGACAAACCTTTAACACAAGGAAGAAAGAGAACTTAAATAAAATTAGAGATGAAAAATGATATTAAAATTGATACAACAGAAAAACAAAAGATTATAACAAAGTACTATGAACAACTAGCTACTAAAAAATTGGGAAATCTCAAAGAAATGGATAACAACCTACTGAGATTAAATCAAGAAAATACAGAAAATTTAAAGATACCAGTGACAAGTGACAATATTGAAGCCAAAATTAAAATTCTTCTATGAAAGAAAACTCCAGAACCTACTGGGTTTATGACTGAATTCTAAGACTCATGTAAAGAACTAACTCCAATATTTCTCACATGATTCCAAGAAATGGAAAAGGATGGAACTCTGCCAAACTCTTTTTATGAATCCTGCAATACTGTTAATACCAAAACCAAGCAAAGCCACAACACAAAAAGGAAACTACAGATCAACATCCTTGGTGAATATTGATGTAAAATTTTAAATAAAATATTAGCAACCTGACTATGATACTCATCCAAAAGGTCATACATCATGATCAAGTGAGATTTATTCCCAGAAATGCAGGGAGGTTTCAGCATTTGCAAATCAATAAACATAATCACATCAACATGATGAAGAACAGTAACCATATGATAATCTCAGTGGATGAAGAGAAAGCATTTGATAAGAATCAACATCCCTGCATGATTAAAAATTTCTCATCAAAATAAGTATAGATGGAACATCCATCAAAAACTTAAAGGATAATAAGACAGTCCCATAGACAAACCACACTGAATGGAGAAACCTGAAAGCATTTCCTCTCATATCTAGAGCGAGAACGATGTCCACTCTTATTCAACATGGGACTGGAGGTATTAGAAATAACAACTACATAAGAGATGGAAATTAAGGGCATCATAGTGGGAAAGGTGGGAGTCAAAGGAGTGCATTTGCAGATGATGTGAGTTTGTACTGGAAAAGCCCAAACACCTCACCATAATGGTGTCAGAACTGATAAACCAATTCAGTAACCTGGCAGAGTACAAAATCAACATAAAAATCCAGTGGTATCATTATATGCCAATAATAATCTTGTTGAAAGAGAATTCAAGAAAGAAATTGCATTCACAATAGCTACAAAATCCCAAATATTAAGGAAGAAATTTAACCAAGGAAATGAAGTATCTCAGCAACGAAAATTTAAAAATACTGATGAAAGAAATCATCAAAGATACAAAAAAAGGAAAGACATTTCTTTCTCATGGATTGGCAGAATTAATATTGTTAAAATGTGCATGTTACCTAAAGCAATCTGCAGATTCAGTTCAATCCCTATTACAATATTGATGACGTTCTTTACAGAATGAGAATAAGCAATCCTAAAATTCGTATGGAACAACAAACTATCCAGAATATTCAAAGTGATCTTAAAGAAAAAAAAATCAAGCTCGTGGAATAACAATACCTGACTTCAAGCACAACTCAAAGCTTGCAAAGCTACAGTAATTTAAACAGCATGGCACTGGCATTAAAAACTAACACATAGATACTTACAGCAGAATAGAGAACCCATAAATTAATCTATATTCATACAGCCAAGTGATTTTTGACCAAGGTGCCAAGAACATATACTGGAGAAAGGATAGTCTTTTCCATACATGGTGCTGGAAAAACTGGGTATACATATGGCGAAGAGTGAAATGAGATCCTTACTTCTCACCACACACAAAAAATCAACTCAAGATGCATTAAGGACCTATATGTAAAACCTGAATCTATGAAACTGCCATAAGAAAACATACAGAGGCTGGTGCCGTGGCTCAATACGCTAATCCTCTGCCTTGCGGCGCCAGCACACTGGGTTCTAGTCCCGGTCGGGGCGCCGGATTCTGTCCTGGTTGCCCTTCTTCCAGGCCAGCTCTCTGCTATGGCCCGGGAGTGCAGTGGAGGATGGCCCAGGTACTTGGGCCCTGCACCCCATGGGAGACCAGGATAAGCACCTGGCTCCTGCCTTCGGATCAGCGCAATGCGCCGGCCGCAGCATGCCGGCTGTGTTGGCCATTGGAGGGTGAACCAATGGCAAAAGGAAGACCTTTCTCTCTGTCTCTCTCTCTCTCACTGTCCACTCTGCCTGTCAAAAAAATAAAAAAAGAAAAAAAAGAAAACATACAGAAAATACTTGCTGATAATTGTACAGGCTATGATTTTTTGCGTAAGACCCCCCAAAGTGCAAGCAACAATAGAAAAACAAGACAAATGACATTATATCAAATTCAGAAGTTTTTGTACAGCAAAGG